TCACTTTCAAACCACAAGTTAGTTGTACCTGTTTCTGGAGTACATTGCGATATCCCAATGAACACAGCAACATGTGATGACTTTAGGTTTTGAAACAAGTCAGTAAAATTTCATGTTTTGGAGGTAGGTTCTGAATTTGTGAAGGAGTTACATGATTGAGTATTTGGATTTACCAATGGAAACAACACACCTTGAAACTTGCAGCTCTGTGCTATTTTAGACTTCACAAAGCTTATTCTTCCATAGCCAGCAGGGCAGTAGGGGTGGAAGTGAGTTTGTTTCTTCATGTTTCCTCACTCTTATCACTGTTGTTTCAATGTAGCCTCTAAACTGTGAATATGCTGTGTAACGAGATTCTTCCCACCAGCCTGGTTCCAGAGCCTCATCAACCTCAAATAACACACAGAGACTCTATTAGTTACAATGCTGTCAACCAATGTACCAATGTCCAGGGATTCTCATTGGCTACGTCTGCCTTAAATATTAACCCATGACTATATATATATGTAGAATATATATATATATATATATATTTCTACAAGGACCTATCTTTCCGAGGACACCATCCTGATGTGTCCTCTCTTCCTGGAATCAAATGGCAACCCTCTACTCTTGACTACATTTCCCAGAATCCTCCTCGACCCCTAGTTCCACCTATCTTGCCTCCTTACTGGCCAACAGTGCTTTATTTATCAACCAATAAGACAAACATACACACAGAAGGACTTCCCCCATCAATGTTGGACCATAGGGGTGGATGATGAGAGCAGTAAAGAAAGTGAGGTCACAGCTCCACTTCATTGAGGATTTACTCCTACGAAAAATCCATATGGATAGGTCTCTTTCTGGTGGTGGAAGAAACCACATAGATGAGAGTTCTCTAAAATAAATTCAAAGGAGAATTCTAGTGGATATTGTGCATTGTTATCTAAATGTTTAATAAAAAGGTATGGAACTGGTTAGTAATTGATTACCAACTTGACTGGGCTAAGACTGGAAAACACACTTCAGGTTTTGCCCAAGAAGCTAGTTCCAGAGACCACTGAAGCTCTGACACACATCAATGGCTTAATCTACTGATGGGTGAAAAATTCAAATAGAATGTAGGAGCCGGTAGAACTGTGGGGTGTACAGTCTGACTGGAATAAGTACCTCACATGTCCTTCCTTGGGGAAACACTTCTTGACCAGGTCCCATTCTGTGTGGCCCCCATCTCCATGAGCTGAAACTGGAGAACCCACTATAATAGCTTCTGTTACTGTGATATTCTGTCTGAACTCATGGCAGTAAGCAACTATGAACCAAATCCCCTGAAACTGTGAACCTAAAGCTCTTCTACCTTTCAATTATTTCACTCAGGCATTTTGTCACAGCTACCAATGGGAAAATAACCCAGGTACATCCTAAAGCTGTGTTAATTTGTAGGTAATTTATAGTTTACATTACTTAGAATGCTGACAGTTGTCTTAATCAGTGCTCTGCTGCTTTACAGAGACACTATGACCACAGCAACTCTTATAAAAGAAATCACTTAATTGGAGCTGACTTATGATGTCAGAAGTTTAGTCCATTTTCATGGCAGGGAGAATAGCAGCACACAGGCAGCCATCACACTGGAGAGGTCGTTGAAAGCTCTACATCCAGATCCACAGACAGCAGGAAGAGAGAACGACACTGGACATGACTTGGACACTTCAAGCCTCAAATCCCATCCCCCACTGACACACTTCCTCCAACAAGGCCACACCCCATAATCCCTCCCAAGTAGTACCACTCATGGATGACCACGCATTCAAGCATACAAGCCAGATGGCAATGCTATCATGTGCCTATTGGCCCACACCCAACTGGGCCCTTGTTGAACAAACTCAGGTTGGGACAATCACACAGTTCTGCAGTACAGTCTGTTACCTTTACAGGTGTCTCTTGTTCAACACTCTTGACTCATAGTAACCCTGGCTATTAAGCCATAATCATGCCAATGGCAGACAACACAGGAGCTCATAAAGGCTACACTTGAAGAGCATCACACAACAGATGAGGGTCTAAGCCAGAATTCAAAGCCAGGAATCTGACTCTAAGGCCAAAGCTCTTTGCAAGCGTATCCCGCTATCTCCCTAAAGTGTTTGCTACCATAAGCTGATTTAATCAGAAGCTCTATGCCACCAAGAGAAACCTGAGAATAATGACTCTACCCTCAGAAAATAAAAACTGCATTTGTGGTTAAACTCCCTATGTTTATAGGTTTGTTTATTTGTTCTTTTATGTCTAGTGGCTGGCATAAAATTCTCTTTAGTTACACAAATCAGCCCTAGAGAAAAATAAAAAGATTTTCCTCTAAGTGAGTAAAGGGGCAATTCTGAATACCCAGAAAAGTATCCCATGCTAAGCCAGGGGTGCACAAATGTCATGTCATGTTACTGTAATAATGGTCATGGATGCTTGGAGTCCCGAATCCTAGTGTTCTCTTTACAGCCATTAGAAAAATCAAAAGGCAGAAGCCTAAGCAATTAGCAGGTGTTTCTGTACCTAGAAAAATATACAGGAGCAACTAGAAACAAATCTTTTGTGCATAAATATCTACATTGATCTGGAGTTACTGGGCAGCTCTGAAGTCATACAATATGAATGGGAGCCACAATGTTCAAGATCTTCAATGGTTTCCAAAGTTTGGAAGCATGAGCTGCCCACCTACAGCCTCCTATCCAAGAAGCAGTTATAGGATGTAGGCATTGTTCAGCAGACCAACCATCAGGTGACTCAGCTTTGGACTGACAGAGGACCCATGAGAGGGGAATTTCTCCAGTTTATACTAGAGAACATGAGTGATGATCACCAAGTCACAGTACAAGGCATATTGTAGCTGAGAGTGGGTTAAGGAAAGAGAAAACTCTGAGATAGGAGGAAAGTTCCAGGCTGCCTAAAGACTGGGACACTTGTCCTTTCCTAATTTCCCACACAGGTAGTCTCACTCTTATATGGCCTGAGAACTCAACGTTATGGTGGAAATTTTAAAAACAGAAAACTGTCTATGACAAACTAGCATTTTACAGCTCATACAGGGTTTCCTTAATAGTAATCATTGCTAATCAGCACTTAAAACACCACACATTTCTAAAACAACATTCTCTCTTATGAAATTCATCCTTTGATAATTTTTTGGCCTCACCGCAGCATATGTTTACAGTAATTGAAAGCTTTTCTGAAATTCAGAATCCATGAATTCAGTATCATCTCTGTATCTCCCACTTGGGCAGAACAGTTGAGTAAATGTTCATTTTTTCAGCTTAAGAAGGACATTATGTAGCTCTTCCCAGTACATAACTGAATCACAGATGTGGAAATATATATGAACATTATCTATAAATGCTGAAATATCAAAATATAACTTTATTTGATCATCTAAGAAGAAAGATCCGAATCCCAGGAGAGAGAAAGGGGACAAGAGAGATGACTCAGAGAATTAGGGGACCAGTCCCTGATCAAGCAAACTGAAAATCAGGGGACCAGTCCCTGATCAAGCAAACTGAGAATCAGGGGACCAGTCCCTGATCAACAAACTGAGAATCGGGACCAGTCCCTGATCAAGCAAACTGTTCAGGGAAATGTGGAGGGCAACTAACTAGCAAAAGGGTGAGGAAGGTATTCCAGTCCCATGGATCCTGCAGACACGGGGCCTTACATAAGCTGAAAATGCCTTACAAGCGGCCATAGTTAAATTCTCAGCCATCCTGCAAGCCAGATGTCAAGTACTGTCATTTTAAAATGATGATAATTAAATATTTTTGTAATATATTAGCAACATGTTAAGTTGCAAGTAAATAAATTATATTAAGAACAAAGGTAATAAATACTTAACTCTCCAATTATATTTCTAGAATCTACTACTGTCTCTGAACCTTATTTCTTTTGTGGTGAAAATACCACACATCACTTTACTTGCTGTGTTTCATTTCCCAGCTCCATATTAAGTGGTTACATGTGAAATTGTGAAATAAACCAAACTGGGAGCATTTACACCATGAGCATGGGCTAACTTCACAAATGAGGAGTTGCTTTATAGTTCTGTTGATGGCATAGATTTAAAATGATAGATAAAAAAATTAAAATGATTCTGATTGTATTTAAAAGTTTGTAAGTCAATAGTTGTTCCATGAACACACACATACAGAGACATACATGTAAACACACAGAGACAGACACAGCAACACACAGAGATATACACACAGATCTACAGATACACAAAGAGAGAGGCAGAGAAAGAGATACAGACACATGCGCACATCAGTATTTCTCCAGTCATTAAAAATTCATCCCATGCAAATCACCCATCTTGACAAAACTAGTCGAATTCCCACTTTTATCTATATACCTATATCTTACATTGATTTTATTGTCTGTGTTCTGTCGGTAACAGTATTATGGTAGAAGTGCATTCATTTGTGGATGCTTTAACTTTGCCATGGAATCAAGGTGGCAATCAGATATTTACTTGTGGTCTGATTTGCTCAAATCATCATTTGATTGCACCTTTGATTGGGTGGCCCAAAGTTCACCCAATGCAATAAAAACATTCTGAGATGATCAGTTGGCACATTGGAGTTAAAAACAAATGCCTTGCATATTTTACACTTCGGCTACCCCTAGAAGTGGCAAGTAAGTCCTTATTGCTAAAAACACCACGCACTTTATAAGCAGGGTCTAAAGATCCCTGAACTGGAACTATTCTTTATACTTCTTCCCCAGGACTCGCTTTCAGGGTACCAGAAGGTACCATGCTAGCTTCCAAAGGAGGAAGGCAACAACAGGCCTACCCAGCTGGCTGCCTGTGAGCCACTGGTACGGCACGTGTTACCCTAAGGGTTCAGTAGTGGGGGTAACCGACAGATATCTAAAAGGACTTAAGAACCCTCTCAGAGACCATCAGAATTCCAGACCTCTGAATACACAATGAGGCCATAGGTCCAGGTGCACAGTAGTTTGCCCTGTATATTACACACCTTCACAAGTTCTATTTTGCTGTTCCCAAAGTCATCAGCTGAAGTCATGGCCGGGCTACGGGGAATCATCCTCAGAAGATGACAACAACCTCCCTAATTTGGCTACATGTGATGTCATAAAGGTTGTTTGGAAGGAGTGACAGGCAGCTCTTAGGAGACTGAGACTCCTGGATATAAAGGAAGTTAAGAGTTGCCTTAACAATGAAAACATGGCACTGAAAATCAATCTCTCTGCCAGTACACGAGGACTGGAGTTCAGACCCCCAGAACCCATGAAAAGGCAGAGCAGGCACAGCAGTCAGCCGAAATCCCAGCACTGGGGAGGCAGAGATGTGAGACTCCTGGGGCAAGCTGTCTGTCTACACTAGTCAAAAGTTAAGGGGTTGAGGCTTCACAATGAGACCATGCGTCAGTAAATAAAGGAGAGAACAATTAAGGAAGATATACAATATCAACCTCAGGCTAGCCCATGTGCTCACCCACACACATACACATCAGTCTACGTACTTATGAACATGCATGCTCAAATAATGTATACACAGCCAACACACACACAGGTGACAAAGAAAATAAAGGATAAAAATATAAATCTCTTGCCTGGCCAAACCTGCACTGCACATAGGACACCACACCTACTATTACTGGTAGCTCAGTTGTCTACAGTGAACTTTGAGAAACCTGGGAGCCATCTGCCTGGGAGTTTTGGGGGTCATCTCCTGACTTCTGAAATTGCATTCTGAAGTTTCCACACCCTCTGCCATTCAAGCATTGCAGCACCCTCCAACTGTGTCTGTTGGCCACGTTCCATCAAACATGTCACCATCTGAATGTGACAACCACACAGTAGATGCTGTGGGGACTGCCAGCAAAATATTTCTACAGAGCTGTGGTTGGCTGGTTGAAATGTGAATTTAACAGGCAGATGTTTTGCTTCAGTGTCTTTGTGTCACCCCACCTCTGAGTCAGCCTGGTGTCTAGTTGGCATTTCCACCTTTAAATTTGGATTGCTCATTTTTCCAAAGCTGAACTCCTTATACTTCTTAGTGGCTTCACACACATGTCTGTTTCCTGACAGAATTAAATCTAGTATTTTGAGATACATGGAGGTGTTGGGGGGGGGTCAGTGAGAAGGCCACACCAAATTGATTGAGGTGTGGTTCAGGATAAATGAGACATCCAGCCCCCGGCAAACTCCAACAGAACTAACCCAGAGGTTCCAGCTGTTTCTCTTCTTCCGTTTGAATGTGACCCTATCACCAGAGTTGTTAATGCCAAGGTCTGAGCTCTGGCAGCCCAATAAGTCAGGCTCAGCCACTCATCCTCAATAGACTGAGGATACCAGCAAATAGTGAAAGGTAGAGAAAGGAGGTTTATTAATGTAGCCACATTGGGAAGGGAATGAAGAGGTCCAATGATGCCCACATCTGCCTTTAGGACCAGAACATGAGGGAGTCATTTAAATAGAAAGCTAGAGGCATGACTAACTAAGTAAACATGGTCAAAGTGTGGCCCCATCCATCACCCTTTTCTGAGTTCCGATATCTCCAGTAAGGTGACCAGAAATGTGTGATATCTCTTCTAGGAAGACAGGTTCTTTCTCTGGCTGGCACCAAAACCCCAATACTTCCCTTCTCCCAGCATGAGATTCTTGGGTAAATTACAATTTCTTGAGTGCCTATTGTTTCAGTAGTCTGGAGACCAAAAGGAAAGATACGATGTCTTTTGCGATACTTTGGTTTTTTAGATACAATGTCTTTTTTGATACAATGACATTTTAGATGCAATGTTGTTTTAGATACAATGTCTTTTAGAACATCTTTTTCCAGGAAGTACTATTCTAGCCCTGACAAGGTGTAGGATAGTAGATAGAGCACTCAACATGTGTTCACCAAATCTTTCCCAGTTAGTTTTAACTGTGTCAACTCCAGCCAAGAGTCACTTGAAAAGGGAATCTAGATTGAGGAACTGCCTAGATCAGATTGGCCTGTGGGCATGTCTTTGGGGGACTGTCTTGATTGTTAATTGATGTAGGAAGACATATCCCACTGCAAACAATACTGTTCCTTAGGCAGACGATACTGAGATATATAAGACAGTAGCTAAGCATGAGCCTGGAAGTGACCCAGCAAGAAATTGTTCCTTCATAGTCCCTTGGGTTCCCGCTTCAGCACTTGCCCCCAACTTCCCTCAGTGATGGACTATGACCTGGAAGTGCAAGCTAGACAAATCTTCCCTTAAGCTGCCTTTTGTCATAACAACAACAAAGGAGAACAGTGGCCTTTGAAATATCCAATATTCATTGGCCTTCTCGTAGTTTATAGGAAAGTAACAGCACCTTTGCAGGGTATCACAGGAGACCCACACAGCTTTTGTAAAGTGTCAAGCATACTTACATATCAGTGACTAGCTATAAGACACAAGCATAATAAATATGTGAACAGAATATAGAACCTGTAATGCCAGTTTGCTACTTTTGGTGCTGACCAAGGCACAGCTTTGGGTTTCTCCAGCATCAGCCATCTGCTCTTTCCCACTCAGACTTCCTTCCCTTTCTCCACCTATCCATTGCTCCCTCCATGCCACCCCCAGAATTCCAGCCACTGACATCTGGAGAAAAGGATCTTTCCCTAATCTGAAGAAACATGGAGAATTTAAGCCCACCATTTTATTTGTTTCTAAAAATTCTAGATTAACACAGATTTTTCCAAGAATTTCTGAAACTGTGTGAGTTTTTTTCACACTCAGATGAGAGTGTGAACAGGAAGGAAATGCTGACTGAATGTTGGAATCCACCCAAAGAAAACACAATGGAATATGCAGCAAGGAACAGTCAGACTCCCCCAAGCTCTTAAATCCACAATAGCTATGGTGCTGTTGTTTCTTCTCTCTCTCTCTCTCTCTCTCTCTCTCTCTCTCTCTCTCTCTCTCTCTCTCTCTCTTGCTCGCTCTTCCTCCCTTCCTCCCTACCATTCTCTGCCCCTTCCTCTCTTCTATGCAACCTGCAACTAGTTTTCAAGTCATCGTTTCTATCATTCATGTTAAAATTAGTGAAAATAGGAGAAATCCATCCAATGAGCATTCCAGCACATATATATCCTTGTAGTGCTGTGAAATGAGCTTTGAATTTGCTATTAGAGCTGATGCTATTCTGATAACTTCTGTGGCACTGCTACATAGAGCAGAAACACTTTCAAACCCACTCAGGGAAAATGACTTTCAGATCAAAGACATGACAGTCACAGGGACAGACAGAAGGGGACTTACCATAAAGTGAAACTGGATACAGAGCTCTGGAGTGAAGGTTGACTTTGAACATGCAGCAGAGGTCCTCAAGACCCAGCCAGATCATGCAATTGTTTACACATTCCAGGCGTAACTGAGGACAGAACTGGAGAATGCCAGTCACACGTGAACCTGTTAAAATCCAATCGCATACGGAGTCCAACAGCTTACACCCGCCTGTTTCAGACTGTAGCTCAACCAGTGTAAGCATTCCTGGTCCTTTTCCATTCTTCTCTATCCACCCACCTGCCTCCTCTGTGGACTGCACTATCTTCTTCTACTTCTGTTACCACCAGAAGGTGGTACTTCTCTTGGCTCACAAGGGATGTGAGGAAGTTCATGCCATGGAGTAGAGCATGCTGTCTTAGTTTCTTCCCCAGTGAGAAACCACACTGACAAAGTGACTTAAGGGGCAAAGCACTAATTTTGAAATATAGTCCCACAGGGATATTGCCCATCATGGCACAGAACACACAGCCACAGGCAGAGAAGACCTGGATGCAGGAACATGAAGCTGGCTCACACATTACATCAGTGTGCAACCAGGATGCCCACATCAGCATTTAGGAAGCAGAGCTTCAACAAGGAATGGAATAGAGCTGTTTAGTTCCAAGGCTCACCCTCAATGACCCACTTCTTTAAGTGAAGCTTCACTTCCTAAACAGTTCAAGCACCACCACCTGGGGACCAAGTGTTGTAACGAATGAGCCTCTGAATGTATTTAACATTCAAACCACCCTGTGGCTTAGTGTTAGGAGAACTCCAGATCTCCCTTCTTTCAAACATAGCAAGAGGAATTGAATGTCATAAAAGAGAAGAAAAAAATCACTCAAGAAATTAAGTAAAAATAGAATCATGGCTGCTTCACAGGACAGTCCCTACAAAGTATTACAATATGATGGTGATTGTGGCCCACACCTGGGTGTGCAGCAGACTAATCTTTCCAGATTGCAGTACAGATGCATAAATGAGTTTTTTCTACAAGTGTTGCTACCTCTTACAGTTAGTGTCAGTTGTCGGTGTGACATAAACCTTGAGTCTTCTGTGAAGACAGTCGCACCCACTATGGGTAGGTGATGCCATCGCTGTCCAGGTGGGCCTGAACTGTGCAAAAAAAGGCTGCTGAGCAAGCCAGGCAGAGCAAGCCCATGAGCAGCATTCTTCCACAGGCTTCCTCTTCGAGCTCATGTCTTGAGTTCCTGCCTAAGCTTCCAAGGATGATGGACTGTACTTAAGATAAAATAAGCCCACTCCTCCAAAATTGTTTTTGGTCATGGTGTTTATTACAATGATAGAAAAGCGAACTAGATCACGACCAAACTAAACTGAGATTTGATTCTGGGTTTTACTTGATTAAGTGTTCAGTGTTCAGGACGAATTCCTATCATTTAATCACTCAGGAGGCTGAGGCAGGGGGATTGTGAATTAGAGACCAGATGGTTACACAGCAAGATCCCATCTCCTAAAGCACAAAATTAACTAATTGAAAATAAATAGATTGCCAACATTAATAAATGATATAAGATTTTCCAGAATTATGTGACATAACCCACTGTTCTGTGAAGCAAAACAATCATGTGTCTGGAAGACACTGTGGCCCTAAGTGAAGAGTCAGCTGTCAATAACATTGCAGCAAGCCATGCTCAAAGATCTCACTGAATAGCTGCATAGATGTCAGTGTGTGTGCACTCAGGATAACTCTGTATGTGATACTATTAGCTTTTATAGTTGAATACCTGTTACGGGATAAGAATTGTTTCAAGTATCGGGATCCAAACAGTTCTAGCCTGGACTCCCAGAT